AACAATGAAGACTGCGTTTCATATACAAATTACTCAAACTGAAAATGTGAGAAGTCTGTGATGGTAGCCAGGAAAAATCTAATTCAGCATAAAGCATCTTATCCACTTGCAATGCTAATTAACCGCATACATCTGTCCAAAAAACAAAACCGTTTTATTGTATTTTCGTACCATATTAACATTTAATGTATTAAACACTTTCTTAAATACAAACAGGGTGTGTACCCTGTGTTAGCTGGGATGGGCTCCAGCCCCCCGGTGACCCTGATAAGGATAAGCAGAACAGAATGGATGGATAGAAATATGCAACCTAAACTAAGGTATAAAATAAATGCTCTTTACTCTAGTTTTATTTTGGGATGCTTTCTTACATTAAACGAGTTCTGAGAGTGTTTTATCTGCTCAGTGAAGTAGGTTTGGTGTGTGTTCATGTGAATGTGTATCTGTATCTGTATTTGAATGTGTGTTTAATAAGCGTGCTAGTGAATGAGTGTCAGCATGTCGTTGTAAGCCTTAAAGAGCATGTGGGTTTACTGGCCTATGTGTATTTTTATTGGCCTGCAAAAAAGCTTTTATTTTAAGATTTTCAATAATTAATATGATTTAATGTATTTTTATATTATTTTACTTTAAATCTAAAAATAGGGTTACAAAAGTGATCTACTACACCCCATGCCCCCCTTTAGACTCAGCCCTGGTTATTGTGATGCAGGTATGACTGTAATTAAAAGCTGTCACCTTCAGCAAGCTGCCTAATTTTAGCACTGTGTCAGACTAAGGCTACGTTCACACTGCAGGCGAAAGCGCATCAAATCCGATTTTTTTTTTACCCTATATGCGACCCATATCCGATCATGGTATGTGTTAGGTATTTTAGTACCATGGGAGAATTTACTGGATATTGTTTTATAGTGACATTATGCAGGAAAACTCTGTCATTCAATAAGGCCCCTTTGTTTTAGTTATTTTTCTCTTTGACCCAAGAATTGATGTGTGAGAATCACAGGCTGGTACAAGGTTGAAATACCACAGAGATCACTCCCTCAGCTACATTAGTTTCTAAATCTCTTAGGAGACGCCTGTTGAAGGCCAAATGGTTTGTTTCAGAATTCACTAATGTAAGAACTCTTTATTTTGTGCCTTGAAAATATGTCGCTGAGATAATCACAATTGTAGCTGAACTGATAAACTATACAAAGGATGCTTCTTCACCCAAGGGCAGGAAGACGCTCCCTTATCTTGGTCTGTACTGGTTTAAACTGATAATCTGCTGTCTCATGAATTTTACCCTCTATATAAACTGTTGTACTTGTGAATAAAGTTGAGTCACTTTGGGAAGACAATCTGAAGCAGTCTCTGTTTTCTTGTTCTCCCAAGCTGCTCCCGAGCTCGTACTAACACGCTGAATGGCATGCTTGAATATTACTTGAGAATATATTTGACTGTGTTACAGACTAAGGGACATTCTCTGCTGTAGGTGAAGGTACATTCTCTGCTGATAGACGTCCACGCCTCGAAGGAAGTCGATCCACGGATTAGGCCCTGGAAGCCGTTTCCTTCAATTTTGGTGTCAGAAGTGGGATCCTGACGAAGGTAGGCACGTGTCTTTTTATTTTATAAGACTGTGTTATGCCTTTCTCAGTGATCCACATAGAAACGGGATACGCTGACGAGGCCTTCTTCAGTGGCCCACATAGTAACAAGTGGGATACACTGAGGAGCCTTCTTAGTGGCCCACATAGAAACACAGGAAGTTGCCTGTTGTTTTGTAAATTAAAGCAGAAAGGACACAGGAAGTTGCCTGCTGTCATAAACTAAGAAGTTGCTCACCAGCAGAAAGGACACAGGAAGTTGCCTGGGGTCATAAAACGAGAAGTTGCTCGTTAAAAAGTGAGAAGTTGCTCACTAAAAAGATAAAATTGCTAGCAAAAAATCAAGTAACCTCAGGTGTGCCACAGCAAAAAAAAACTAACTTAAATCCTTCAAGCGTCTAAACCCCTCTGGAAATCACTGACCATGGGTCAGAATAATTCAAAGACCTTAGATGGGTCCGATAAAAAATCCTACAGCCTTTGTTTCTGCATTACAGAGAAGTACCAGATACCACCACTTGGGTGGGCCTGACTATAGATATATATTATGTCAACGAATCCCAGGTGTGACTGAATCTCAGCTTATTGAAGAAGTAGAGGAACTAGACCCTAAAAATGACCAAGCAGCCAACACCACCTCGTTTTTGTGGATAAACGATGACAAAATCACAGCCTTTTTTCAAAATCTAAAGAAATTTCTGCTCACAATGTCTAGAGATAAAATTGATTTAAATGCAGTAACCATGTGTAAGCAAAAGCCAGATGAATCCATTCTAGTTTTTATGAAACGTTTCACACACTGCTGGACTAATGAGGCATGCATGCCTGAAGGAGGAAATGACCAGATTTTCATAACAACATTCTTAAACAATATTCATCCAGAATGTTCACAACTATTGAAGCTGACTGCCACTGATAATCTCTATGACATGAAAATAAAGAACTTTATCACACTTGTCAAAACAAAAGCTGGTGCAGATCTTTTTCCCAACAGCACGAAGGCTAAAAGTGTTAAAATGATGTTGAATTTTGATGTTGAAGGCTCAGAGGAAAGTGAAAAAATGATGTATGCAGGGGCCCCGCCCCCTCAACAAGCGCAGCAGGGAGATTTCAGAAGGAGAGATAGGAGTGGAGACGTATGTTTTTACTGTGGAAAAATAGGACAGCCACTAAAAGTTCACTGCCTGGAAAATTCTATAGTGGGCCTGTTTCCTCTGTGTGCATCAACACCATGGGAATAAACGGAACTCTAGTGCAATGCCCCAAAACTCATTCTCTAAAAACACGCTGGGGCCCAAAACCAGATGAAATTACATATCATCCATTCATAATTATTCCAAACTCGCCTGTGAATCTATTAGGCAGAGATTTAATGGCAAAAATGAACTTGTGTATTTCATTTAACACAAAGGGTGAAATGTTTGCAGATACTGATAACAGCTATGTTTTCTCTGCCCTATGCACCGACACCATGGAGAAGGAACAGCCTCTGTGTCAGCTGGACGCCTCAGCGGAGAATGAACTCAATATCCATCTGACTGGTATCCCACGTCACACTCTGTGTCAAAAACATGTGCAAACACCGTTACCAGGTAGCCCCATGCCTGGAAGCCACATATTTGTTTCTCTCACACTGTTCAACAACATGATAACTGCTCACACCAGTGAAGGCCAAACAGTGGTTTTGTCACATAACTCAGACATAGGCTATGACATTACTGCACCATGTCGACACATAGATCTAACCTACCCCATACACTGTACTATCTCTGCTGTCACATTGCCAGCTGAATATCAAAACATGACATTATGGTCAAGAGGTGAGAATGATGTAGGATTTATTGACTGTACCCCTTATCATGCTCAGCTGAAACACAACAAGCCGGTATATGTCAAGCAATATCCCATTTCCGCTGAAAAAGCCGCAGCCCTAGACATCATCATAGGAGATTTATTGACAGCTGGAGTAATAAAGCCCACAGTATCTCCATATAACACTCCTGTCAATCCTGTGCCAAAGCCTAACAAACCTGGCGTATGGCGTTTCACACAAGACTTAAGGCAAATTAATGCAGTCATTATGCCTCTGCCTCCTCTAGTCCCAGATGTTCCCAGCATACTGACAGCTATTCCAGCAACAGCTACACATTTTACTGTGGTGGATTTGTGCTCCGCCTTTTTCTCAGTGCCTGTGCATGAGGACACACAGCCGATATTTGCTTTTACACATAGAAATAAGCAGTACACTTGGACCCGTTTGCCCCAAGGCATGGTAGATAGCCCTGCTGCTTTCTCAATGGTGGTCCGTGCTACCCTGGACAGCTTCACTCCTCCGGAGGGCTGTACCTTGATCCAGTATGTGGATGACCTCCTCCTCTGTGCTCCGAGTGAGGAACTATGTCAAACTGCCACACACATGCTACTCCAGCACCTCCAACAGACTGGCCACAAAGCATCAGCAAAGAAAATGCAGTACTGTCAGACTTCTGTTCAATATTTGGGATTTACACTGTCTCACGGACAACGTTCCATGACTACAGACAGGGTCAAAGCTGTGACCTCTGTCCCTAAGCCCACTACACAGAAGGAAATGCTGTCCTTCCTAGGCATGGTGAACTATTGCAGACAGTGGATACCAGACTGTTCTTTTCATGACCACATTCTGCGTGAATGCTGCAAAAAAGACAAGCCTCCTCGAATACTGTGGTCCACAGAAATGACTGCCTCTTTCAATGCATTACAGGGAGCGCTGACCTCCGCCCCTTGTTTGGGTCTGCCTGACTACCACTTACCATTCCATCTGTACGTCACAGAGAACGGCACAACCTGTGCAGGTGTATTGGCCCAAGAGCATGGCTGTGGCTACCGTCCAGTAGCCTTCTACTCAAAGGTGCTGCCAGCAGTAGTTCAGGGGATGCCGGCCTGCCTGAGAGCAGTAGCAGCTTGCTCTATCATGATAAGGGACTGCGAGAAGCTCACACTCTCACATGACACTATTCTACACACCAATCACCAGGTCACGACCATTCTAGCAAACATAACTACACAACATATGACCGCACAACGTCGCTCAGGTTATGAAGCTACACTGACTTCAACAGCAAATCTCACTATAAAAGCAAGCAGCACACCCAATTCGCCAGCACACTTACTTATTCGTATGCTGTGTTCCTCTGACCGACAGGATGGTTCAGACGACCCTGACGATCATGATTGTATGACACGTATACAGGAATCCACAGCACCACGCCCAGACTTAGAGCAGACACCAATCCCAGACTCAGTCATTGTTTATGTTCAAAACCAAATGACAACTCATTTCTTTGTGGCTATTCAGTGGTGACATTGCCTGACATCATACTAGAGGCTCACTCATTACCATTTCACTCAGCACAAAAAGCAGAGCTCATGGCTTTAATACGCGCCTGTGAGCTACATGTGGATAAGCGGGTGACAATTTACACTGATAGCCGTTATGCATTCGGTGTGGTGCACGACTTTGGCACATTGTGGAGACAAAGAGGATTTAGATCTGCTGATGGAAAACCGATCGCTAATTCTGATCTTGTTCAAAGACTTTTGCAGGCTATACAGCTGCCATCGGCAATTGCAGTTGTTAAAACGAAGGGGCACAGCACGGCTGACACAGACGAAGCAGTGGGAAATGCTCTTGCAGACGTAACCGCGAAAGCAGCTGCTGCCTCACAGCAACCACCCAGAAAGGAAGTATTATCTTTGCCTTTACAGCTGCCACTTGTCACACTCCCAGACTATTTAGAAACAAATGTTGACCTAAAATTCATACAAGAGCAGGCCTCTGCCTCAGATTACACTTACTGGGAAAGTAATGATTGTACCTTAGATAACAGAGACGGCTTATACAAAAACCTTGAGGGTTTGATTGCCCTCCCATCTTCACTACTGCCAATCCTTGTCCGCCATTTTCACGGTGTGAGTCATGTCGGACAAAGAGGGGTAATAGGAGCAATAAAATCAAGATTTGTAATTGAGAAAACATCACACGCAGTAAAACGCATATTAGCAACCTGTCTAACATGTGCACGAACTAATGTAGGTAGCTCAAAAGCAAAACATCAGCATTTACCACAACCAGATTTCCCATTTCATACATTACAAATTGATTTTACACACATGCCAGCACAAGGAAGCATCAAGTACTTACTGGTAATAGTGGACCAATTTAGTAAATGGGTAGAAGCTTACCCAACATCAAAAGAAACTGCAGAAGTAGTCTGTCAAAAATTGTGCAATGAAATAATACCCAGATTTGGAATACCTCACCAAATTAACAGTGATAGAGGACCTTCATTCACATCAGAAGTAATTCAAAAGTGTGCTAAAACTCTAGCAATAGACTGGAAATATCATGTGCCATACCATCCTCAGAGTTCAGGAGTTGTAGAAAGAATGAATAGGACCATAAAAAATCGCCTGACTAAAGCAATGATAGAAACAGGAATGACCTGGATCAAACTACTTCCTCAAATCCTCTGCGAGATTAGAATGACTCCATCCGCAGCAACCAAATTATCTCCATTTGAAATAATCATGGGAAGACCGTTTCCAACACCATGGTCAGCCTCCAGAGGGGCACCGCTATTGGAAGGGGACATAGACACTGCATTGTCTGACTATGTTCATAACCTGGTAGAAACACTGAATAATAACTATCAGAAAGTTTGTCTCTCTCAGCCTCTCCCTTCCACAGATCCAACCCATCCGTGGAAACCAGGAGATGCGGTGTTGGTAAAGTCACTAAAACCAAGGGCACTCGGGGAGGCCGCGTGTTCCAGCCCCCAGACTGTACTTGCAGTGACGAGAACCAGCATCCTAACAGACGGACAACCTCAGTGGATTCATGCCAGCAGGGTTAAGACCAGCCCCACCAAACCACCTAAGGCGTCGGATCAAGTAGATGACGACTCAGGCGAGCCAGCGCCCGGATTCAATACACCTATAGATGACGACTCAGGCGAGCCAGCGCCCGGATTCAATACACCTATAGATGACGACTCAGGCGAGCCAGCGCCCGGATTCAATACACCTACACATACACAATCACTGATTAACACACAACGCCTGAAAGAGCAACAGCAAGGTACTCGAACATCCAGCAGGAATAAAAAGCCTAGAGTACCACACAATGTCTAACCTGATAAAGATAGACTCATTCCATCCTGATAATGGAGAAAATGAAATGCCCATTGTCATCACACGACGCTTATTCAATGTCTCTCGAACCTGGGACCAGGCCAGGAGACGACTGAAGAACTGTGTTTTTTATATATTTAGGTTATTAATCATATCTACTGCATTAACCTTAGGATTTTTATTTACTATTTTGTATTGTAAACTGCAACCCTGTTCACATTTCTGCAAGCCACATTTTGCTGACAATACCTCATGCTCCACTTGGCAAGACACCCACCTAGTACACTCCTCACGTTATAACCCATATAGCTACTAGTACAGCTACTTCAATGTATTTGCAATTAGCACAAATTGATCCTGAGGATGTGCCAGATGTTACCAATGATGTTCCTGATGTGTATATTGAACATTAGGTTGTGAACTATTACATTTTATGATTTGCTTTTTATATTATGTTATTACATTTGTGATTTTTCCTTTCTATTTGAGTTATTATTTTAAAAAAATAATAAAAGAGGGGAACTGTTAGGTATTTTAGTACCATGGGAGCATTTACTGGATATTGTTTTATAGTGACATTATGCAGGAAAACTCTGTCATTCAATAAGGCCCCTTTGTTTTAGTTATTTTTCTCTTTGACCCAAGAATTGATGTGTGAGAATCACAGGCTGGTACAAGGTTGAAATACCACAGAGATCACTCCCTCAGCTACATTAGTTTCTAAATCTCTTAGGAGATGCCTGTTGAAGGCCAAATGGTTTGTTTCAGAATTCACTAATGTAAGAACTCTTTATTTCGTGCTTGAAAATATGTCGCTGAGATAATCACAATTGTAGCTGAACTGATAAACTATACAAAGGATGCTTCTTCACCCAAGGGCAGGAAGACGCTCCCTTATCTTGGTCTGTACTGGTTTAAACTGATAATCTGCTGTCTCATGAATTTTACCCTCTATATAAACTGTTGTACTTGTGAATAAAGTTGAGTCACTTTGGGAAGACAACCTGAAGCAGTCTCTGTTTTCTTGTTCTCCCAAGCTGCTCCCGAGCTCGTACTAACACGCTGAATGGCATGCTTGAATATTACTTGAGAATATATTTGACTGTGTTACAGACTAAGGGACATTCTCTGCTGTAGGTGAAGGTACATTCTCTGCTGATAGACGTCCACGCCTCGAAGGAAGTCGATCCACGGATTAGGCCCTGGAAACCGTTTCCTTCAGTATGACAGTGTGAACAGCACAAATCCGTTATTTTCAAATCCGATCTGAGTCACTTTGGCTACGTTCACACTGCATGTGTTAATGCTCAATTCCTATTCTTTGATCAAATTCATATTGTTTGACTGATGGCCCTTAATATAAAGACTTCGGACTTTACGTTTCCCAATTTTTGCTTTAAGTTATTTTGTTATTTACATAATAATGTAGATAACCTAATAATTATCCTTATTGCTGTTTTAGAGGAGCGGTGCTTCAAAGGATAGTTGCAGATTTCTGTCAGAATCTGCAGATTATACAGTACAAATAAAATGTTCACGTTTCTCCAACGTTGTCTTCCCAACAGTTTCACTGACATCTACACTGGATGGCCAGGAAGCGTTCGCGATGTCTTCTCCGGAGCTGATAATTGGCGTCTGTCTTGTGTCAGTGACGTAAAAGACGGATTTAATGCGACATGACCGTTCAAACAGCAGTCGCTTTCTAAAACATCAGATATGTATCGGATTCAGTACCACATACGAAAGTGACCCAGATCGGATTTGAAAATATCGGATTTGTGCTGTTCACACTGTCATACTATGATCGGATATGGGTCGCATAGGGTCAAAAAAATCGGATTTGATGCGCTTTTGCCTGCAGTGTGAACGTAGCCTTTCATATGTGGTACTGAATCCGATACATATCCGATGTTTTAGAAAGCGACTGCTGTTTGAATGGCCATGTCGCATTAAATCCGTCTTTTACGTCATTGACACAAGACAGACGCCAATTATCAGTGCCAGAGAAGTGCCCGAGAAGACATCGCGAACGCTTCCTGGCCATCTAGTGTAGATGTTAGTGAAACTATTGGGAAGACAACGTGAACATTTTATTTGTACTGTATAATCTGCAGATTCTGACAAATATCTGCAACTATTATTTGAAGTACCGCTCCTCTCTAAAACAGCAATAAGGATAATTATCAGGTTATCTACATTATTATGTAAATAACAATGTTAAGATATTCATTGTGTGTACTCATGTTGTACAGTGTTTAACTGCATTTTGGTTACTGTGGTTTAACAGAGACAGTATTTTAGTTGTCACCACAAGGAGGCACTGTTTCATTGTAAGAGCACGGATGCTGCGTCATCACGCCCCTAAGAAAAAAAAAGTATACCACAACGAAAATGGCACCCATGAGAAAAGTTTTGCCGCGTGTTGATGAGGAATAAAGTTCCCAAAATATTAAGGACATTTTTGCCTCCGTCGTCATTTTCCTTCGAGTTGATCGCTGTCGATGCTGCAATACTCAACAAAAAAAATAACTTAAACTGTTAGCAGTCGGACGTACCGCCCACGGGACATTGGATGGTTTAGGGGACTAATAGGACTGCTAAGGGGTTAAAGCAAAAATTGGGAAACGTAAAGTCCGAAGTCTTTATATTAAGGGCCATCAGTCAAACAATATTGTTTGCTCTGGGTCTAAACAGAGCGCGTTGTGTGTGACGTCTTCTTTTGCGCATGCGGGCCGCTTTGAGCGTTCACACTAGAGCGCGTTTGCTGTCGCATTTTATTTGTAGTGTGAACAAGCAGACAAAAAAATCGGATTTGATCAAAAAATCGGAATTGAGCATTAAGACCTGCAGTGTGAACGTAGCCTAAGTTAACACCTCATCTGCTTATTATTTATGTGGCCTTGCTTCTGCAGCTTTACTTTTGCTGTATAAAACAAACGATGGATGCAGCAGCTAAAAAGTTCACTTTTCATCATGAATTTGTTGATCATGTGGTTTGATGCCAGAAAAAAACATTTTTCACTCCACCTGAGCTCACCTTTTCAGCAACAGCTCCGCCTCTTCACTCTTTGCAGGGTATGCAGGCACCGCCTCCACGCTAAACCATGACAGCATCATTCTCACTGCTGATGTTGTGTTATCAGCATTTTTGTTAAAAATGGAGGCTGCATTGTCTTAATATTGTAGTACATTGTATTAACATGTGTGCTTCTAAACACATTTCTATTGCAGGTCTACTTTTAGTCACACATATGGGTGAAGTGCTTGCATTTAAATGGTAAAGTCAGAGAGCCACAGAGCATGCGTTAAACAAAGCATCAACGCAAAGAATTTGCACTGATGATTTTTTTAAAATTAAAAGCTCGTCCCAGCTCACTGATGCCTAGTGGTTGACAGGCTCAAGCTCAAGCACACTTATGCTTACACTTATGTAAGAAGACAACGGTCCAAAACACACTAGCAAATCCACCTGTGAATGGCGCAAAACCACCAAAATGAAGGTTCTGGTGTGACCAAGTGCTCCAAAAGGCATCAAAGTCACAAACACAGAAGCAAGAGCTTTGCTAGAGTGGTCATTAGAGGAACTGGAGATTTTGGGACTCCCCATTTGGCTTCATTTTTCAGTTTATTTTTTTAATGCTTGATTGGAACCTTTCAAACAAAGATGCCACAAAGACCCAAGGTTTCACAGCAGTACATTGCATTATAATGAGATCGATTTTAATGTTGTGGCTGATTGGCCGATGGCTCAGTCCACTGTATCACTGGCTGATGTGCAGACTTCTCTCGGTGTCTGCCTCTCATCCTCACGGCCTCCTGTCTCTCTCTGCCTGACACTTTGACACATTCTCACAAAGTGGCCATCGGTGCTATCATATTGCCGCATTTGTTGGAGGAAGAATAACATTGTGACACCACAGTATCACAGCGACAAAGATGAGTCCTAAAAGCTTAGCAGAAGTGAGTGTGAATGCTTGTGTCTGTGTGTGTGATTAGGGTGAAGAGGATCATAGCTGCACTGCAGTCATTTTTTGTAGCGTCACAGGAGAGCTGAGCAACTGACTACATGCTGATGAAAAGGAATAACACAGCAATTTAGAGTTCTGCCTTCTTTTTAGTTTATTGAGCATTTTTCATGCTGCTGAGAAAACAGCATGAAAAATGCTCAGTAAATATTCAGTAACATTGAAAAAAGGTTCAAAAAACACCAAAAACACCTCTTCAGTCAAATTAATCTATACTACTTTTTATGCTTACTTATGCTACTAGGGCTTTCCCATGATGCACCAAGTGTTTCTTCTTCACCTACCTCTTTTCATTCACTATGTGTTCAAACGCAACTCTGCATTTAACAAATTAGTTATTATTCATCTCTGTCTCTCTTCATCTTTTGTCCTCTCCCTCCCCTCACCCCTAACCAGTCGTGGCAGATGACTGTCCCTCCCTGAGCCTGGTTCCTGTTAAAAATGAGTTTTTCTTTCCCACTGCCACCATGTCCTTGCTCATGGAGGGTAAAATGATTGCTGGGGTTTTCTCTGTATTATTGTAGGGTCTCTAGGCACTTGCTTCAAGGCACTTCATATTTTAAGCCTTGAAGCAAGTGCCTTGTTGTGATTTGATGCTATATACATTGAATTGGACTGAATTTGTCAGTGTGAGTACTCAGCACAGAGTACAACTGGTACAGACACAAACCATGATAACATGCAAGTCATCACCCAGTCACAGCCATTCTGTGCCAGACTGAGTTTAACACTTGCGTATAAAGGAGCTGTGAACACTCACATTCTTCAGCATGTGAACACACACCTGTGACAAATTAAACCATGATATCATTTTTCAAAAAGATTAAAATCAACACTGAAACTTACAAAAATGAAAACTAACTCTCAGCATTGGACCTTATCAAACATTACAATGTGATTTTGCTAAAAACAACTCAGAGAGCACACACCTGTTGTTTGCTTGCTCTCTGGACTTTTGGCTATTTGTCTGTGGCTTTAATGAATGAAGAAAAAAATAACGGATAACCCAAACAGCTGGATTCAACAATGGTTAACAGTCAGTCTGTTTTCTCAATATTATTATTAATATTTTTGCAGAGCAGCAGACAGCAAAATACCTGGTTGAGGGTTTTTTTCCCCATTAGGATTTAAAGCTTGCATTCTATAAAGGAGCCAGACGGTGGGGTTAGTCTCACAGTTTATCAGTTCTGCAGGCTGTGGCCTCATTAGTTTCTTTACGATAGAAATGACTTGTGATTTCAAATTAATTGATCATTTTAGACATTTATATTTTCACTATTACATGTGTTTGCATGTATTTATGTACATGTGTGCATGAGTCAGTACTTGCTTTAATAATGTGCACATTTTCTTTTTCTCTGAAGACCGTCCACGACATGAAGATGTTTCGCTCCTGTCCTTTTGTTTGCTGGTATGTATATCTGGTTGCAGCACTTAGCTGGTTACAGACTTGGTCGAAGGACAAAAATACTCTCACAAACACACAGCCAAACAAGAGCTAACAATTCACAGCGGTCACAAGTATTTAGCAAACAAAAAACGATGTATATGTGTTTGTATGTGTGTTTGTGAGTGTGCGGAGAGGAATCTGCAAGCACGCGCGCGCACGTGCACGCACACCGGGTGCTGCTCTTTTAAATCCACCTGTTCACAGCTCTTCCCCGCGCGCTCCGCTCGCTTCTGCTGATAGGTCTGTGAGGGTGAGAGCAGCGTTTATTGCCGCCTGTGTGCTGTGCACTGTGGCAGGGCTCCTCTCTAACAGCAGCTCAGCGCAGAGGCCGCAGCAGCAGGGCTCCTGCCGCCGCTGAATGGATTACCTACTTATTCACCTTCCCCGAGTGGCTCTGCGTGGACACCTCCTTGTCTCGGCGCCTTTCTGTGATTTCTATGCTCGCCGGGACTGCGACCACTGATCATGCACTGATTTGCGAGCAGCTCTGACTTCGGAGTCGCCTCGCTGCTGCTGGTGCTGCTGGGT